GCTCCGGCGGCGCCAGCGCCACTCAGTGTCCACATGTCGCGTCGGCTGCAGGCAGCGGTTTCCTTTAATTTCGCTCGTTTCCCAAATCTAGAAGTGGAGCGTAGCGCCATTTCTTTCAAAACTGACATCCAGCCTCCTGAGTGGCTGATCGAGCGCTGAGATGACCTTGCTTTTCCTTTCTTTTTCCTCTTCTAAATAATCCGGTTTGGAGGAGTGGAAGATCTCTAGCGAGGAGCGCGAAGAATAAAAGAAGTGGGGGGGGGGGGCAGGGGAACTGGGGCGCGAGCGAGCAGGACTGGAAGCTGCCGCATGGCAACGCGGCGGTTCCTGCTTACGGCCGTGTCAGGTGACAAATGTTGCGAGGGGGCGGGGGCCTGGAGATGCGTTCTGGCGACAGGCCCTTGAGCTGTCACTGCGTGGGGCGCCCGCGCGGATCGGGCGGGAAAGAAGTCGTGGGGGAAGGGAGGAGAACCTTGGGTGCTAGCGGCCCGCGCGCGCGCAGCACTCCGAGCTTCTCCGCCGGCCTTTCCCGCGCGCGCCGGGCGCAGAACGGTTCTGAGACCTGGGGAGGTCGGGGGCGCGCGAGCGCGCGCAGGGAAAGCGGGGGCGCGCCTGCGGGGCGGGGATGGGCGGGGGGCGGTGCGTGGGTCTCAGTCTGAGATCGGGGGGCGGGCGCGGCGCTACCTACCTCTGGTGCCAAAGGGCGGCGCAGCGGCCTCGGAGCACAGCGGTGGTGGCGGCTGCTGAAGTATGGTGCGCGCGTTTTTGATCACAGTGCGGATTCGGCGTGCTGGTGGCCCTCCACGAGTGAGGGCTTTTGTTGTGCGGATCGCGCGGCCAGCGAGTGAGTGGGCAGCTCCGGGTGTGCGGGCCGCTGCGGCCCTGGTGCTAAAGCTAGTGAGGAGCCGTCGCAGAGCGCAGCAGCCGCATCCTAGAAGAGCAGGTAAGAAAGGCCTCGAAAAGTCCCGGGCGCAGTCGGCCTTTGGAAGACTTTGTTTGGTATGATTTAATACAGATAAACCATCTTCTAGACCAGGATAGGAGGAGGAGGTTTCTAGGGGTGGAACCTCTTTCCCGGTTCGGGTTACAGTTGCTTAGAGGTGTGGTGCTCCCAATGTATTGAGCCCGGGGCTCCTTTCACACACCTCCTCAATCCGGTGAAACTCTGGGAGGAACCGGGAGATCCCAAACCCACCTTAGAAGTCAGTCACTCCTGAATTTCCTGGGTGAGAGCCAGTAAACACTCGCGCGCGCACACACATGCAAACACACACACACACACACACACGCACACACTCTGTGAAGGTGTATTTCTAGGGCACTTTATTTCGCCCTGGAGGAAAGTATTACCAAAGGTCTTAGTTTTAAGGGGGCCACCTGTTGTCTCCTCTGCCAGGTCAACTCTCTCTCCTTACAGTAGTGGGGGATGTTAGAGGTTGGGGGCTGGCACGTGGTTTGACTTCCCGAAATAGTAACACTGATCGGAGAAGCAAACATTTGCTTTTGCAGTCTATAGAGAGAGTTGGGCTTTCGTAGTGAGGCGCAGACTTCTTATTTGAAATCTTGACAGATTCAAACTGCTCCGAATGATGCTTAGCATCAAATGTTTAGCAAAAAATAGACCTACAGTGGTGAGTCTGAGAAATCACTATTAATCATACTTTAATCCTCTCAGGCCACAATGAACACTTGTTTAAAAATGAGGCCTACTTCTTGAAAAACAAAATCCTGGGTAGTTTTGTCATCACAACAGACAAATCTTTACACGGTGTGATTTCCTATGACCAGAATAATTTAAAAATACACATTGCTACAATATGCAGAATCCTAATTAGAACTTGGATAATAAATCTAAAAGCAATTTAATGAGACTTAATTTTTGTGACCTTACACAAGTAAGGCATCCATTTCCACCAATAGACGTTTTAAAAAAACAAATGCGGGGGGAGGGGGAATTTTTTTCTCCCCAACGTTAATAGGCCTTTAACACGTAAATGTAAAACTGTTAAACTATAGGTGTTTAGTTAGGTGCCTCCATTTCTAATGCCAAAAATTTACAAGCAGGGGCGCATGGCTGGCTCAGTCCGTAGAGCAAGCACCTCTTGATCTCCGGATTCTAAGTCCGAGCCCCACTTTGGGTGTAGAGATTACTTAAAAATAAAATCTTAAAAAAAACTTACAATGTATAGAGTAAATACACATTTTCTTTTTCATATAATTATGAAAGTTCAGTATTTTTAAAGAATTAGTAAGAGCTTGTAAAAGATTTCATGGCATGTTGCTGGACTTAACTTTCCTTCATTTTAAAACATTAACAAGACCCTGTTTGTCTTATGGTGCTTTATTCTGGCCAGCAAATGTTTAGCCATCATATATTTGTGAATATCAGAGTGGTTACTATTACTCTCTACTTAAAGCTATTTTATTTAAAGTGTTAGGTTGCTTCTGGAAATCTATAGTAACAAAGTAGAAAGTTTTAATCTGTGTATTATAATTATGTGTTTTCTATTTTAGGAATACACTTTACTTTAGGAATAACTTTAAAGACATATTTTATATATTTTATGAAATGTTAAAAATACAAAAATGGTACTTCTTTGAAAGTAGCCATTTATTCCTTGTTATTTAGGTATAAATCAGTTTTCAGGAATAATATGTAAAGTTATTTAAAAATGTATTGACTATTTGAAAAGCCCAATTTTTAGTAAATATCTGAAGGCAGAACACATGACTTAGGTAGAATAGACTATTTCTTAAATATATGCGCAATTCTCCAACTTCATTTTTTAAGTTATACACATATATAAACTTATGGAAGTATTAATTATAAATGACATATAATTATATAGTTCACATAAATATATATTATGCCAATGGTTATATTGATTTAAGAACGTATATAGAATGGATGGTAATTATGTTGGGACCCATACAATTTCTTAAGAGCCACAATGCTTAAAAAAATTCTTGTATGAATTACTTAATATTATTAATATAAGTATAGAAGGTGTTATTTTTTGTTTTTAAAGTTTCTGCAACTATGTTCATTATGACTTTTTATTTTTATATGACTGGAAAATGTATATAATAAAATTCCACATTACTAGTTTCTTATTCACACATGCCTGATGAATTACATTAATTGATTTGTTGTTATTTCTACCTTGGTGTGTTCACAAAAAAGTCATATTTATATAACAGTAAGTGTTTATTTGTTTGCTGCTATTTGGGAACCCTTAGGATTTTTTATCCCCTTTGACAGAATGCATTCTCTCAAGGTAAGCTCTGTACAGTTAGCATAAACCATAATTCGCAATGCGTACATGATCCCCAGGTTGTATTATGTAAAGAAACAATAACACTTAACCAAACTCAATATTTATTTACTTCTTTGGGGTCTCTTGAATTCTAAAAAGTCCATTGTCATCCTCAGGTAGCAAGGACATAACCTTGTCTACGTCCATAATATTTTATATGTCTGTTAATACATGTTAGTTCATCGCTAGTAACTACCATGGTAGGGTTAATCTAAACCATTTTCCCAACATGTGAGTGACCCCTGTTAGTAAAATGATCCAAATCGTCTCAAAAATACTTTCTTAGCTGAACATTTGATCCAGTATTTTTATTCTTCACAATTTTTCTTCCTTTTTGAGAAGCATAACAATCTCACTCATCCCCTCCACACTAAAACTCCTTGGGCCAGAGAATCCTTCTGTCTGCTGCAAAATCTAACCTGATTAAAAAAAAAGTTGTGATGCTTTATTTCTACAGTTTAAATTATGTAAACAATGGATATTCTTTCACTTTATAAATATAAAATTATAGTTATTTACTAACTTTTTAAAAAAGCTACAATTCTCTAAATTCTCATTGTCACATAATGATAGCTATTAATGCACTTCTTAAACCCCTCACTGGCAAGGATATTTTTACTGTAGGTATGAAGAACTTTTAAAATATCCATACATTTTTGGGGGCACCTGGTTGGCTCAGTCCACAGAGCATGTGACTTGCAAGTTCAAGCCCCATGTTGGGCATAGAGCTGACTTAAAAAAAAATTTTTTTTAATCAGAAAAAACATCCATACATTTGTATTCTCTGTGTGGGCATCATCCAATGAAAGAAAGATTCTGACAAAGGTTAATACAGACAAATAGTAGCAAGAAATTGAAAATTGCCTTACATTCTAGCAACAGGATGTTAAATTGTGGTACAAAACTATGCTCTGGAATAATGGTCTGGAATATTCTGCACTCTGGAATACTAGATAATCATCGTGTCTTTGAAGAATATTTAGTAGAATGTGAAATGATTACATTATAAAGTTAGGTGATTTTTCAAGATTCAAAACAGTAAACAATTCTTATTCTCATTTTGCCTCCTTTCCTCTCTCTGGACACACACATACACTCTGTTTTTGTACAGAAATTTTTATAGTGTTTTCCTCAGGATGAGGGGATTGGGATTGGTGATCTTTAATTTCTTCGTTATACTTTTGAGTTTTTCAAGAAGTTATGACCATCACCAGTAAATATATATAAATATATATATATATATAGTCATTTTCAAACCCTGAAATGATCGTGCATTAAGGATGAACTGAGAGCTTGCTTAGCCTTAGATTGTTGGGGGGTGGGGTGGGGCTGGGCAGTGAGGAAACTGACTTGTGCAAGGATCATAAATAACAAGGTTCTGGTAAGGTCTGGAGAAAGCACGAGAGAGTTGTGACTTCAGACCAATGCTCGCTGTGCCTATTCACAACCTAGTTCGTTTTTACGTAGACTATAAACGCATAGCTATGTCTATTTCCAAAGAGCTTGGGTATTAGGCCTCTGGTCACATAACTTGCCCCCTTCTAGGAATCCTAGTCCTCTCCGGACGATTTCAAACTGGGGCTCACCGCCTCCCACAGCCTGGCTGGGGTTGCAAAGGGCCTCCCCCAGGACCACAGAGAGAGTCTACCGTAGGAAGCGAGACTCAAAGCTGCACCGACCTAGCCTCCCCCACCTTCTAGCTGCGACCACCCTCCTCGACCCCATCTCCCCACCCTCTCAATTTCTAGAGACGCTGCGGATCCCAGAGATTTAACTGGCAGCTGGGGTAGGACCCCGTAGCAAGAGTTTAGAGGCATAGCCCACTGATCACCCCACTCCGCGAATGCACCCCTTCTGTTGTTAACCGCCCCGGGCCTCGCCCCACACCCCAACTGTTTCCTCGGGTAAGATGTGATCTGCGTTAACAGTGACTGATGCCTAGAGCGGGATTGGGGCCCAACTAGGTGGAGGACGAAGTGGGGGCCTCTCGGATTCAGGAGGGGTGCAAGGAATGACGAGGAGGTCTCTTGGTCATCTCCCCAGCTTGGAACTGGCCAGGCCTTTTTTCTGGAGGGGTGAAGCGGAATGGGTCAGGTTCATTCGAGGAAAGTGTCCAAAACTCGGCAGCCAATCCCTTCCGCGCCAGTTGGCCACCAGCGAGTGTTGAAAGGCCTTCTTCTCTTTGTTCCTCGTTCTGGGGTACAAGACGGAATGGAGGATGGAATAAGAAGTTTTTCCAGTGATGAAGAATTTGCCTCAAATTGTTCTCTCAACTGTTTCCTTCCCATACTGCAGCTTTCCTTGTGTTTGAACACTTCCCCTACGTTAAAACATTCATTTATTAGAATGAAAAAAAAAATCACTAAGCGTTAAAATAAGATCAATTTCTATGACAGTAAGCCAACCAATGGAGATAACCTTGGGAATAAATAAAGGCTTTGTTCAGTAGGGGAAGGAAGGTCTCTTTGTAAGGCTCTCCCCCATCCTAGAAAATGCCCAAATTGGGACCTGCACTGGTTTACCATATCCTAAGCCATGCTATGTCGGTGTGTATTCAGCAAAACTACGTATATTGACAATTGTTGCACTTGCTAAGTGTCAGCATTTATATTTTAAAGAAGGGAAAATTGAAGACAATCTCTGCTTATCAGTGCAGTTATTTATTTCAGGAGCCATAGAATAATGGCTGCAACTGGGCAGACCTACATAAAGAAGTAATAGAAGGGAAAAAACTAAACCGTCAATTACAAGACTTAAAGTTCCAGTGCCTCAGAGGTCCTTTGAAAAATAATAAGTTGATTTTTATTTTTTATATTTTAAGTAACATAATGGCTTTGTTCATGATAATATAAAAATTCTATCACAAATGACTTTTTAATTCTTCTTCAACAAGATCTCACTTTTTCCCTTCACCTCAAAAAAAAAAAAAAAACAACTCAATTTATTTAAATGGTTTCAAAGCCAGTAGGAAGAAAGGTTTTGTAGAGGTTCAGAACTATATGAGCAAAGATATGTAATCTCTTAAACAAACTGAAACTAATAAAATTGTGCAATCAGAGTGGTATAAACAAATATGCCTTTACTTTCTTAATTTAAGCATGAGAGTAATGAGAAGTCGAAGAACTGAGGCAAAGGTTATCAGCAACATCATTACCTGGACTGCTGTTTAAAAATACACATTTCTGGGCTTCCTCACAGAAAATCTAATTCAGCATACTTGCTGCAGGTGCCAAGAATCTGCATTTTATTTTATTTTATTCCAAGAATCTGCATTTTAAATAAACACTTGGAGGGGATTCCGTTACAGGTGGATTTCTGCAACATCATTTGGCACATATGACCAATGTTGCTTTTTAACTAATCTTATGTTTGCTTTTTTATTTTTAAGTCAAGGCCCAGGCTTTTAGGTAAGATTTAGATTTTAGAATCAGTCATGCTTTGGGCCCCAGGAGAGTCTGAATAATCAGTGGAGGAGCTATTTTACTAAGCAAAGGAAAACTCTTTATTATTATGTGATCCTTCATCTAAATTGAAAAAGATATCTCTTAGATCCCAGATTTTTACTATCAGAACATATTTTGGGGGGAAGGATATAACATGATATACTTGTGTGTTAAAGCTCGTAGCACCAAACAGAAATTTTCCACAGAAAACATTTGTGATATCTTTTTGAAACACTATACAAACTTAACTCCTGCTTACATAGGATGAATGGTTCTAGATAGATAGATAGATAGATAGATCGATAAGAGGTTTCTTTCATTTCATTTTATTATCCAAACCAGAAACGAGCCTGGTAAACATGACCATCTAAAATTACGTAAGAGAGGAAAAACAAAACAAAGAAGTGTTTTACAGGTTTAAATTATATTTATTAATAAAGGCAAAATTGCAATAAAATGTAGCCATAAGAGAATAAAGCATTTATGGACAAAACGATGGGACTTTGTATCTCTCTAAAAGCACACTGACACACAATATATATACACATATATATACACACATATATATATAATATAAGCTAAAAAAAATAATTAGCCATTATAAGAAAAACTAAAATATTATGCCTTCCAAATTACAATTTTTCTGCCTTTAAAGTACAATTTGTCTAATGTTATACCTACTTTGCAGATGTATTAAGGAAGCTTATGTTTTGCTTTCTTTTCTTTTCTTTTTTTATGAGTGCCACCATTTTCTTGCTCTGAATCTCCGAGGCTGCCAGATCATCTGACTCAGCAACTGTACAGTTTTTTCACCCAATTTAAAGAAACAGCAGCCATCCAAAGAACAATGAGTCCTCCCAGTTGCAAATCTTTCTCACCTGTAGAATAAGTACCAAATTTTAACTTTGAAACAATTGTTAAATGTCCATACAACATGGGGCACTTGGAACTCATTCAGTTTACATGCTGAATAATTGAAGTTGAATATATTTTGTGTAATATATGATTTTTAAAAGAAGCTTATTGAAACTTTGTTCCAAAAGCACAGGGTCAAGTTTGCTTTCTCTTTTCCTTCAAAATAATTACAAGGACCTTAACAGTAATAGTGCACATCAACTCACAGCATCTCATTTAATTGTCACATTGTCTGTTTTAGAGATTTTATTTTCTCATTTTATAGACTGGAGACTGAGGTTCAGATAAGATGTTGCATGGTCTGCCAAAATTCACCAGTAATTCATATATAATTGAACTAGGTGTGCTGCTTGCCTCAAGTGCCCTGACGAACCACTTTATAATTTCCAGGTATATATATATATATATATATATATAGATATATAGATATATATATATCCATATATCACCTATCTTTATATTTATCTATATCTATTTTTATTTCTATGTCTATATCTATATCTGTATTGTTTCAGTTCTATCTCTTCTAGTTCATTGTTGCTTCATAAGTTGCTTAACTCCCTTGGATCTCTGTTTTACTCAGCATCAGCCACATGTGTTCCAATTAATATACATTGATCAGGTGAATAGAAAAGTTCTGAAAAACAAGTCAGTATAATAATAACTGAAGTGTCCTTATGGGCTCAAAAAGCCATTGCAGCTCATAATAAAACAAGGATATTAATTTCTTTCAGAATTTGTTTCTTGCCCAGAGTAAAATTAATTCAAACCCCCCTTGTAAATTACTTATTCCTACTTTGATTCAAGAGCCATAAGTGGGAAACCTATGCACAAGCATAAGAATCACTTAGAGCACAAAGTAGAAAAGTAACTTTCTTGGAATACATTACTTGTGATTAGATTGTTTCCTTTACTTACTAGCTATGTAGTATTAGGACTAAGCATTTGAAACATTTTCTAGTCTGTAAGCATGAGACAGTAGCCTATTATATTCATCTAATAAAAACTCCATAAAATAGTCTATGTAAAGATATACTGTAAATTTTAATTTGGCATACATTTTTCAGTTGTTGTTAAAGTGCCAAATTAAACTATGCCCTTAAAAGCACATTAGTTTACTTTTGCAGTTAAATGCCTACTTAATTTGACCTTAATTATTCAGACTAGCTGAAAATTCCTGAACTCCATGTTAAAATACATACATATCATAATAAAAATGTATTTATCAATTCAAATCCCTGCCACCTTCCAAGTGTGATGTCAAATCAGTGTAAATTTGCCTACTTTTTAAACCCACGTTTACACAGAAGCCCTGTATGATGTCCTTTACAGAATGACTCTGAACTCTAGTATTCATAATCATGATGTCAATATTAAATATTCATTAACCCCTATTTTCTAAGATGAAAAGTCAAATTACTTTTAGAAAGCTGAAAAAAAGTTACTGACTTGCCTTCAATTTATCAAAAAACTCAGTAACCCAGAATAATCATTTCTGGAGGGAACACTGAAGTAGTAGACTCTTAATTCCTCCAGAATGGTTGCCATGGTCTGAATATCTGAATCAATAGTTTTGGCACAGAATTTTGTAAAAAAAAATTTTAGTATAAAAAGTTGTGTGTGGGGGCGCCTGGGTGGCTCAGTCTGTTGGGTGTCCGACTTCAGCTCAGGTCATGATCTCACGGTCCATGAGTTCGAGCCCCGCATCGGGCTCTGTGCTGACAGCTCAGAGCCTGGAGCCTGCTTCAGATTCTGTGTCTCCCTCTCTCTCTGCCCCTCCCCTGCTCATACTCTGTCTCTCTCTGTCTCAAAAATAAATAAAAACAGGGGCGCCTGGGTGGTGCAGTCGGTTAAGCGTCCGACTTCAGCCAGGTCACGATCTCGCGTTCCGTGAGTTCGAGACCCGCGTCAGGCTCTGGGCGGATGGCTCAGAGCCTGGAGCCTGTTTCCGATTCTGTGTCTCCCTCTCTCTCTGCCCCTCCCCCGTTCATGCTCTGTCTCTCTCTGTCCCAAAAATAAATAAACGTTGAAAAAAAAAATTTTTTTAATAAATAAATAAAAACATTTAAAAAAATAAAAAAAATAAAAAGTTGTGTGTGTATGAGAGAGAGAGAATGCAAGGAAAGAGGACTAGAAACATTAAAGTCATCCTAAAAATCTTCAGAATCTCTGCCTTGGAAGGTGGCTTGCAATTTATTAGGATATTTATGTTTATTAGGATATCAAAAAAATAAAATGTATTATTTACATTTATTTACAAAAATACGAAATATATTATGTAAACTTCCTTAAGGCAAAATTGACTTAGGTGTATAAAATTGTTGCAGAGTAAGCATAAAATGTATTGTTATCATTGCCTTTTTAAAAATGATGTATGGCAGTTATCATCTTAACCATAAGAAAAAATATATAAAGCTATACCTTCAACCCAGAGACTCAAAAGAAAACATGAATGGAGATGTTATATCTGTGAATAAAAGGTGCTAAACATGAATAAGAAGCATTTCCTCATTTATTCAGAGTTGACACATATCATTATGAAGTTGATTCCTTCCAGAGAAGTTTAATCACATATTAGGTGAAGAATGTGACTTGAGGAAAAGCAGTCCAAAACAAGAACTATTTTTAAAGGTCTTTTATAATATCAGATGATAATTTGGTTTCAGAAGTCCAGGAAAAGCCAAAAAAAAAAAAAATTGAACATAACAGTAAGACCACAGAGCCCCAAGAAGGCAGGCTACTCTTAAAGGGTAATTGTGGGGAGGAGGGCAATCATTGCTCCATTTGAAGAGGAAAGCTTCAACTTAGATGATTACCCTGAAATTAGAGTATCCTATGTCACTGTTAACCCAATCAACCATGAACATTCAACCCCTACCCCCAAGAGTAAAAACTTAATTATTTCTCTGTGAGTTTCAATAGTTTCTTTGCATTCTAATAGCACATACATGCATCAGCAGCATAAGCAAAAATGGAATATTCCCCCCCCCCTTTTTTTTTTTGCCATCAACAACAGACATTTATTTTCTCACAGTTCTGGAGGCTGGAAGTTCAAGATCAAGATGCCAGCCAGCAGCATTGGTTTCCTGTGAGGACTCTCTCCTAGTCTTGCAGACAGGCACCTTCTTGCTGCCTCTTCACATGGTCTTTTCCTCTGACCCTGGTATCTCTCTTATAAGGACATGGGTGATACAGGATCAAGGAGCCACTCTAATTGCCTTAGATTAACTAAATTACTGTTTTGAAAGCCCTATCTCCCAAGTAATTTACATGGATTAGGGTCTGCCCATATGACCTCATTTTACCTTAATTTCTCCATAGAGGCCCTACCTCCAAATTCATTAGATTCTATAATAACTTCCTTTAATTTTAGATAGCATGTCTCATCAAAATATACTGATAACTGCCATCTTCAGGGATTCCAGTTGCTTTATAGTTATCCATAAATAACCTGGATTTCAGGTGCCCACACCTCCACTACCCCTGCCTTTGGGTGAATAAGAAAAACTTGATTCAAAACCAGTTCTACCACCCATTAAGATCCAAAGGTTGTGCTGTGATCCTGGGATTGTCCATGGCTAATGTGCTTCTGGGCTCCTCCCCACTGATGATCACACTCATGGGTGCTGCCTCTATTTCACCCCCCTTAACCAGACCGTTAATTCAGCTCCTTTGGGGATCTTCACAAAACCCCATAATGAGCTTCCTCACTTTATTTAAGAGTTGGGGCCGGTGGGGCGCCTGCGTGGCTCAGTCAGTTAAGTGTCTGACTTGGCTCAGGTCATGATCTCGAGGTTCTGGAGTTTGAACCCCCCATTGGGCTCTGTGCTGACAGTGCAGAGCCTGCTTGGGATTCTCTCTCTCTCTCTCTCTCTCTCTCTGTCTCTCTCTCTCTCTCTCTCTCTCTGTCTCTCTGTCCTTCCCCTGTTTGTGCACTCATGCGTGCTCTGTCTCTCTCAAAAGAAATAAACTTAAAAAAAAAAAAAAAAGAGTTGGGGCTGGAGCCAGAGCCATGGAGAGGCATTCTTCTCACACCCCTCTTCTCAACACCAACACCAGTTTCCCTCACTTTCTTTTCTTTCCTCTTCCCTCTTATGATTATGACAAATGCCTCTCCTTATCACATGCAGAGCAGTTTACTAATAACTTCTCTAGCTTGATGATACTCTTGGGTCTCACCCTCTGCCCCAAATGGTTTATTAAAGTATTTCTTCACCCAAATATATTCAGAGCTCTAAGAGGAATGCTGGTGAATATGTTTTTCTCTCCCTCATTATGTATACAGAAATAAGCTCCTACTTCTGATCCAGCCCCCGTGTTCATTCTATATATCCATAACCTTGTGTTGGGGCATCCCCCTGAATGCCTTCCTGTAATGGGGTAGGACACCCGGAAGGCTGCTTGCCTGGTGCAGCTACAGCTGGACAAGGATCAGCAACATGGTTGTGCAAAGTGATGCCACGCGCACTACAAGTCTTTATTTCAGTGAGATGCAACACTCCTCCCGTGCAAAAGCTCAGCAGTTTCCCCATGTGCAATTCTCGTTACCCGCCAGGCAAATTTGTGGCTGTAGGCAGACTCTTTAAACCTGACTCTTCCAGACTTCTGAGTTTTCTCAGCTCACAGTGTTCCTGCAGCAAGGAATTCTCTCTTGCCACAGAGAAAAAAATTCTCTGAATATTTGTGTCTCATGCAGTTCAGCAGATCACAAAGGATAAACAGGCACACTCTCTTTGTTTACAATTTTTTTTTAACATTTATTCATTTTTGAAAGGCAGAGAGAGACAGAGTGCAAACAGGGGAGGGGCAGAGAGAGAGGGAGACACAGAAACAGAAGCGGGCTCCAGGCTCTGAGCCGTCAGCACAGAGCCCGACACGGGGCTCGAACTCACGGGCCTAGAGATCATGACCTGAACCGAAGTCGGCTGCTCAACCGACTGAGCCACCCAGGCGCCCCATCTTTGAATTTGGCTTCAGAAGTGTGTCCATCAATCCAAGTGATCCTGGCTGCCAGAGACCTCAGAATTCATCAGTCTAGGACCCAATTCCTCCTGTTAAGGCTCTTGATGTTTTCTTTCTTTCATGTCCCTTCTGTCATGTTCCTTAGTCCCCAGTCCTCTTCAATTACACACTCCTATTAGGACTCAAATACTAGATGGTATCCCATTATTTGACAATAACTCCCCAAATGAGAGTAAAGATACTGACTCAGTGTGAGGGCACTCAAACTGTCCAATATTTTCAACTCCTGTAAGCTTTCTGCAGTGCAGGAACACCCCTTATGGAATCGACATGTGCACACAGTGAGTTCTGCAAGGATGTCACCATCCTTGTCAGAAGCCACCAAGTCCTAAGTTTCTGTTACTCTAGTCTTTGAAATAAGAGATCGTAACATCTCAGTTTTTCCCACTCTAAGCCACTGAGTCAGCCATTTTTGGTAGTTCTCAGAACTTCTTGCCAAGAAAATACATCTACTCCCTGGCCAAGCATCCCCCTGGGTCTATTTGCAAAAGGTGTTCTATTGGGTACAATATTTGAGTACCACTGCATTTCCATTATACCTGCCTCATTATCTTACAGGAATGTGTCTGTCCTTTGTTTGGAAATGTGCTGATTGTGGAGCCTGGTAAACCTCAGGCTGAAAACAGGAGTTTATGAGCTGTCCTCCAGTTCCTGTCTGCCCTCTCCTGTGGCCACAACCCCAAAAGATCAGTCACTGAAACATGTTTTGGTGTTAACTCTGAAATTCTGCTTTTTAAGAGCATACCATAATGAAACCTTGGAAATAGCATGCAGAGTTTCACCTCGTCATACCCCTGAAGATCACATGCTCTAATTCAACTTAAAGGGACACTAATCATACTCAGCAGTCAGGCAGAGAGGCTTGTAGTTGGAGATGACACTATCATTTGTACAGGATGTAAAAATGAAGGACCATGACTTTTATATCATTAACTGAAGAGCAGTAGTGTTAAACCACTATAGTTATCTTCAGTGAATACATTTCAGAGACATCTTCACAAATGGGCCTTGTGTGTGACTGCACCAGCCTATAGATCCTAGAACAAAGGCAAGGCTCTACGCTGTCCTCTTCAAGGTGCATGGGCTAGCTCATCATTAAGTTAAAAGCTTAACTTAAACCTGAATTTCTTCCTCTGAGTAGAAATAAGACATGTGGGGATTCTAGGCTCCTGGGAGGATAGTGTGCCTGGAAGAGGGGTGTCTAGAGCCTCATGCCATGTTTCTGAACCACTGAGACAGAGGACAGGGAGGAAGCCCTGCAGCCCTGGGATGTAGGTAAGGTCTCCATACAACCTCCAGAACTCTGCACTCTAGCCTATCAGCACCCCCACCAGGACCTGGCGCCATCTTGTTCCTGATTTCATCCCCATGTCCTCTGTACGTTCTACATTTACCAGTCCCATATGTTATCCCTACACACCAAACTTGGCCCAATGTGTTGGCCCACAGAGGTAAATCACTCAACAACTCACTCTGCAATGCTACCCAGCTGACTGGTCTGCAACCCCAGGTCAGCATAGAAAGTAGCACTTCTAAGGATTTACACAGAAGATCATAAAGAACCATTTGAGTGACTTATTAGCAAAAAAAAAAAAAAAAAAAAAAAAAAAAAAAAAAAAAAGGTAGCGTAAAGGATATGGATGGGGAGGGAATAGGCATGAACTGGAAGGAAAATTCAGCCCTGTGATCACAAGCAACATGATGCCAGGGTCAAAGGCATCAATCAGAGAGAGTCATGATGATCCATCTTTGCTTCCATATGAGTGGGTGAGAAGACAGGGTAGGGCATTAGGGATAGAAGGACTGGGCAAGGAGTAAGTGATGCCCAAGGTTTAATAGTTTGGGAGTTCTGCTAATTATGCCAACATGCAAACTTATCACCTGAAAAATAGTAAAGCTACTTTTGAAGCTTAGAGTCACAGAATCTCCCTGGTATGCAATTTAGGGTTCCTGGGGGGAAAGGTTAGGAGTCACTAGTGGAAATAAAGCAAGGCATTAGCCAATGATGTAGCATGATGTGCACACACACTCAGCTGAAAAGGCCCTGTCTCCAGAGGTGGGGAAGGAGTGACAATACCAGTAGGAATTTTAGATACCAATGTGCCCGGGTTGGGGAAGAACCTGGGGCAAACAGGCCTTTTGAGATAGGTTTTACTTGGGAACCTTGTCTCACTTTGTGATAAGCTTCTGTAGGTATAAGGGGCTCAACTCAGGATAGTGGGGGCTTCCACTAAATTCCTATATGCCTCACAGCTCAATTGGCTCTTCGTTTCATGCTTCATTTTCTTAGTTTGGTATATATGCTTTTCTTTTCACTACTTTCTTGAGGTCGATTTTGCATACAATAGACTATGTATATTTAAAGTATACAATTTGATGTGTTCACAGAAGTTTGCAATATACATACATACACACACACGCACACAAAGTCAAGATACCAAGCGTTCTTATCATTTCCAAAGTTTCCATTTTCCACCCAAAGTTCGTGTTTAGCAATGAAGAGGGCAACATGTGTTTGAAAGGAGAAAATCTGTCCCATCAGGAGGAAAAAGAAGAAGGTTGGGAATAGAGGTTTAGAGGAGGTAAACTTTATAATCCCTCAGTTTTGCCTGTAGTTTCCCCATTGTACCTGGTATTTGAACTGCACACCAGGAGTGGTGGTGGGTGGCAATGAATGCAGAGAAAACTTTGAACACTGACATACTTCATTGTTACTTTCCATGATGTAATGAAGGTTTTTGTGTAAGTTCTTTTGTTTTACACAGCCAACTTTATTACAAAGAAGCTTTGTTTTCCAGACATTACAATTCAAAGACAAAATTAATCACACCTTTTGGAAGGGAGTTTGCTTGTTCAAACCGCAGATACCAGCTAGAATGTATAGTAATGAACAAAAAAATACCCCAGAGGAAATTGACTTTGATGGCCTAAATGATTAACATGATAGTAAATGCCATGTCTATTCTCCAAAAAAGTAAATTCTATTTATTGAGCCTACTGTGTGCTTAGATTTTTATATATCTGACATTCTTTATTCTTTATAAAAACCCTATAAGGTAAGCTTTATTTTCCCCACCTTGAGAGGTGGGGAAATGTAGACTCAGAAAGTTTCCATAATTTCTTCAATCCCACAGAGCTAGTTAAATGAGGGATCAGGTCTATCAGGCTTTCCAGACTGGGATTGTCCCATTACCATGCTGCATTTGTGTCTCCTCCAAGATTAGGAAGGACATGGTTGACAATCTCACCAACCACACCTGTCCAAGTCAGAGTAAACAGCTGTAAACATAGAAAGATTATGGAGAGACGATTGGTTCAAAACCCGCAGCAAATATTTATTAACTGTGTAACCATGGCAATATATCACCCCTCCATTTTCTCATCTATAAGTCGGGGGGGGGGTAGCTTTTTGAAAAGCAATTTTGCAGTATGTGTCAAGAGCCTTATACTTTGTGAAAAACTGCAATGCTATTTATTGTAGCAATTGGAAACACCTTAAATATCTGACAACAGGGCATCATTAAGTAAACTGTAACATTGTTTCAGTGGAATGAGGTGCAGCTGTTAAAAGTGGTGTTTATAAAGTGATTTTTGGGGAGAATTTATAGAAATGTTTTAATGATAAGTGAGAGAAAAATCTTATTTCAGAATTCTGTTATACCCACGAGAACTAAGCAAGGAAAAAGAAAGGAAGTATTTCAAAATGTTAACAGTCATTGCTTCTCTGCAGTGTCATTTTCCATTTTCTTTATGCATCTCATTCCTTAAAAATTTTTTTACACATGTGAACTATAATCCGGAAAAAAGCGTTCAAAAATAATAGAGTTAAGTGACTCTGAAAGGACCTTAAGATCCAAATTTCTGTCATTATGCGTGGTTTTAACCAACAGTACGTCACTGAGAAACACAGTACTTCCAGAAAGTGGAGATCCTGACACCTTGGTCAGGATCTGCCACCTGCTTCTCAATTCTCAAAGAAAAAAGAGCAATGCTGAGTTGTCCCCCATGCTGTGTACAAATCAGCCAACCAGGAGACGCACCAGGGAGAGGGTGGACTTCTCAGACAGAACTGCTGACACAGTTAGTAGTTTGAAGTCCATCTCCTTGTGCATGTTGTTCCTGAAGCACTCTGGGCTTCTGTTTTGATCTATGAAGGAAGGATGATACTGTCCACCCCACAGGACAGCTGTGGGATTAGACATGACGTATGTAAAGCTGCTTAATGTTTGTCACATAGTTGGGGTTCAATAAATGGTAGCCATTATGATTTTCTTGGCAATTTTGAATGAATTTCCTATTCTTTATTTATGTCTGTTTATCCCTCCTCTAATTATATACCTTATTACTTATTTTGTTCTTTAGGATGAGGCTAATTCTCAGTATCTCTACAGGTAAAAAAAAATTGTACACGTGCACACAAATACATACTCTAGATAGATATAGATAGATACACACACACACACACACACACACACACACACACACACACACACACACACACTGTGCTAACATTTTAGTTTTCTCAACTGGCCAAATAGCTGCAAATAGATAAATACAAGTAATACACCTCAGAAACTTCTCCATATACAAAAGCAGACATTTACAGTTGAATTTGGGAATGATGGTTTTCATGAGCTGCAAAGATTCCTCATTTCATAAGAACCCACTCTATAAATACGTTATAGTAAGCTCCTTACATAGATTTAAAATCATATTTGTTTTGCACAAAATTTAGAAATGATATCTGCTATATAACAAACAATGCACTTCTAAATTTTTCTCAAAATGATCTTGGGAAGATGATAGCGACTGCAGATTCTGTGCCCAGTTAATACTTTGGAAACTAAAATTGGAAAATTGTGACTTACCTATAATAATGCATCAATTTTATAATAAGTGAAGGCATTTTGAGTTTCATGTTCCTTGCCAAAGTCCTGTCTGAACAAGAAGAGAAAATTTACAGTAATTCCTGGTGAACAGAGATGTCATAGGGTCCCTAAAAGAGCACCTTACCTATAGCAGGCACTCAGCAATTGTGCTATACTGAATTTGATTAGAGAATATTGAGAGGGAGAAGGAAACATCCTCCACCTTGAATTTTCCATAGAGCTAATCCTCCATCCCTTTTTCAGCAAACTTGTTCAGAGGTCTGCTCTGTTTTCTCAGGGATCTCCCTTTCATGTTAAAGGTATTTTCTTCTTGTGGGAAAGTAAATAAAGGGAAACCTTGTCTTTAATTTTCTTTGCCATTTTTCACCTAAGGAAGTCCTTCTTTCCCATTTAAAATACACAGATTGGACACTGAACCCTCAGAATTCTTACCCGGGGGCACTTTAATGGAGGAGCATGTTTCTTGGATCAACAATAATCTTTTGAGGCACAGTCATTAATATACTTGCTTTGTAGATGGGGATATTTAAGCAGAATAAAGTATGACTTGTTCAAGGTGATTGGTGGCAGAGGTAGGCTCTCTTTTCCTTACAGTATTAACTTCTAAATGAAAAGGGGCACATGAAATTATTCTCCCATTGTCTTTGTCTTTGAATAATCCTCTATTGCACCCAGCATTCAATCCTAGAGCCCATCCATTCAGGCTTAACCCAACTATGTCCAGAAGCACTATTACACAGCATAGCTTCCTCTGATAAGCTATTTCCTAAGAAACTCTCCTTAATTATGGGATCCTCTCCACACCCTGAAACATCTTTTCCCTGGTAACACAGGTCTGGGATGTCAGTTATCAGAATTCATTTTCCTTCTTCTATACTATTAATACAGACTCCCCTCAAGAGCCCATCCCATTTCAAAACCACCTCCCTCCTTCAGAGAAGCAAGCATGTTGACTAGGACTCTCTCTTGACTAGGACCCTTCCTTTTTTGGACCCACAGCTTAAAGCCAAGCAGCTGACATACAGTCTGTATTCAGTTACTCTTTGTCAAAGATATGAATGATGGTTTTCAGAAAGGTAACTCTTATTTGCCTAGTAAAGTTATTATGTTTAATTAATTAGAATGGCTAAAGTATGCACATAGTACAAAATTCAAACATTACAAGTTGCAGAACGTGAAAAAGAAAGTCTCATGTCCATCACAGTTCATTTCCTCTCCCAACAGTTAACAGACTTTTCTATATCTTTCCAGAGATATTCTATGTATATTTTATTTTTAACCTCAAACTATATTTTGAACAATTGTTTAATAACAATGCTAATATTGAATATGGTAAAGATATATATGCTTTTAAAAATAGCTTTTATGTGTATCTCACTTGATATCATAACCTCATGAAGTATAACAAATAGAGCAAGATAGATCTCATTTTAAAGATATGGACATTGAAGCTAAAAATAGTCTCAAAGGAGTTCATAGTCAAACAGCAGTTCACTAGATACATCAGGACTGTCATTCGGTTCCATTTCAGAGCGATTTCTCCAACACCTTTTATTTTCCCAATAAAATGTTTTCATATGATACATTTGTACACAATTCATATCAATCTTGCCAATCCTGCAGTGCCTTGTTAGAATCAGAACCTAATTTCAGAATACTACCTTCTTAATTATCTTTCTATTTCCTTCTGCTGATGTGTTAAATTAATAGTCACATCTAGAATTACTATTCTTTGATTTGTAGGTTTACTGGGGTAGCACCATTGCAAGACTTTCTTTAATTTAAATAAAATAGTCAGATGCTCCTGCAATGCCATGGTCTCTTATTCTAGCTGGGTTCTCCAGGCTGATGAAATGCTTCTCTAAGTCCTACTCAGCCCATCCCTTTCTCCTAGTAACAGATATTCTAAATCTTAACCACTCTCACTTCCTTTTTTTAAATATAAATTTTTATTTAAATTCCAGTTAACATACAGTGTTTTATTAGTTTCAGATGTACAATTTAGTGATTCATCACTTACATACAAGTGCCCTCCTTAATCCCCATCACCTATTTAACCCATCCTCCACCCAGGTCTCCTCTGGTTTTGTTCTCTATAGTTAAGAGTCTGTTTCTTGGTTTTTCTCTTTCTTTTTTCCCCCCATGATCATTTGTTTTGTTTCTTAAATTGTACACATGAGTGAGATAACAACGGTATTTGTATTTCTCCAATTGACTTATTCTGCTTAGAATAATACTCTTAGTTCCATCCACATTGTTGCAAATGGCAAGATTTTATTCCTTTTGATGGCTG